GCTCCACATTCACAAATCAAGAAACATGCTTCGCTCCCCAATCAACCTTCATTTTAAAGCATTGTTGAAAAGACACACTCCTGAAACAAGCAAAGGAGAATTGAATTTACCTGAAAAGCGTTAAGTTTCTATTCCACAGCATCACACCTAGACTGCATAATATGGAATATAAAAATCTTGCTCCTGGCAATTCTTCCCTTCTTCCTTTGCTGCTCATAATTCTATAACCACATTTTTCTCAGGCTACATGCATTTAAATGAAGACAGCAAAGGCTGAAGTACTGCCTTCGGGGTGAGAAATGTATTTTTAGCAGCAAGTTAATGCTTAAAGGCGTCGTGGTAAACATTCTATTGCTTTTTAAATAGTTTTTCCATGAGAAGCATATATTTTTTCAGTATATTCATTGTGATTATTTGCTTCTCTACAGTAAGGTAATGGTCACCTGTGGTTGCCACTTCCTTTACTGGAGAGATTTGCAGGGTGAGGGGGGGTGTCCACAGAGAGGGCAGCAAAAGAAAGAGATAAGAGGTGGATGCACCTCTTTTAACGCTATCATCTTTTGACTCTTTTCCTCTGGTGGATGACCCTGCAAATTTGGAATGTAACATGGATCAAATCTCTGCGGAACCTGACGGCGGTCCAAAAGATTTCTCATTAAGAAGATGAACTTCACACACGATGAACAAGATTTATTCCGATTTGGAAAGTGCAATAGGTAAAGTGCCCGTTTCAATCCTTCCAGCAAAGTTTCGAAGCCAGTGCATTAGGAAAGCGTAATTTCTCAGGGGAGCAGCAGCAAAGCTTTTCAATTCAAGCTGCTCCTAAAAATACCTCTTTTCAAACTGGAGAATCAGAGAGAAGTGCCCCAGCAGAAGGGATATATATATATATATATATCCAGGATATATATATATCCAGGAGCAAAATATATATATTTTCAGGAGCAAATATATATATATTTTCCAGGAGCAATTTCTCCAAGATTAATTTTCGGCATCCAGCATAGTCAGGCATATTGCCAGAGTCCTACAAAATCTTCCAATAAAAATTCTCTACGTTCCCTGCTGAAGCAGTGCAAAAAAACACAAAACAAGCTGGCAGGGCCCAGGCAGCTTCAGAAATGTGGTGCTTTTGCCCATCAAAACTTGCAAGGAAAGAGAAAAGATATCTCAGGAGAATCCATCAAACCTACTTTGCCAACCTGTCCTCTTAAACGATTAAGTTGATCCTGACCCTGAGTTTTATGATTTATTTGAAAGGCTGTTTCAGTGGGACATTAACTTTGACATTTCAAAGATTGCAAAATCAATGGGTTCACAACCGACTAAATTAGCTGAATTTGGTCCCCCCCCTTTGAGATTTAACCACCAACCTGACTGCGAATCTGGGAGGGGACCTGAGTTGAACTACTTAACCTTGCTCCAACTCAATGCATTGAGAGTTAAGGCAAGCCCTCACTAGATCGCTAAGCTATGTGTAGGCACGTCACGTATAGTTCAGTTTGGTGAAGGTATTTTTTTTTTAAAGCAGCGCCCAAGAATCTCGCTTTAATGTAGGCAGGGGTTAGGACAGGGGTCGGCAACCTTAAACACTCAAAGAGCCACAAAGGTCCTAACGCAAGCCTCCCATTCAATTCTGGAGCTGACTGGAAGTCCGGTTACCCCACCATAGAGTCTCCTCCTAGCACAGCATCCTTTTTCCTCTACCTGTCCTAACCGAAAGCCCTATCAATTGTGGAGCTGATCGGCGACAAGGAGCCACAGCAGAGGGATGAAAGAGCCACATACAGCTCCAGAGCTGTGGATTGCTGAGCCCTGGGTTAGGATATGGCATCTGACAATAACCAAAGTAATTTTCTTTGTCTAACCCTTTCTCTTGATTCAAGTGGCATTCCTAAGCAAAGTAATTTAACAGTATAGTGCAGGGGTCTCCAACCTTGGCAACTTTAAGACTTGTGGACTTCAACTCCCAGAGTTCCTCAGCCAACTGGCTGAGGAACTCTGGGAGTTGAAGTCCACAAGTCTTAAAGTTGCCAAGGTTGGAGACCCCTGGTATAGTGCCTTAAGAATCGAGTCATACTTTTGTACTGATGCTTTCCAACAGAGGTGGTGTTCTTCTAGAAATAAAGTTGTCCAGAAATCATTACAAAGTTATCAAGTGGAACGATGAGTTGCAAAGCTATTGGATATCATTTCAACAACTCCAAATGTCCCTGGAACTTTTCCCTAATACACAATTTGTTCAGTTTCTTTCAAGAGAGTAAGGCTCAAGGCTCTATTCTTAAGATAGTGGTCACCAGATTCCTTAAAGTGACCCGGGAAAAGTAATGGTAAGTTGGATGGTTTTTTCTGCTCTTTTAGAGACCATGCAAGAGGTATTAGCATCTCAAGAAAATATAGACATGCCTTAAGCCCTTCTGTCCATTACCATGCAAGAGTCCTCTAGTTCAGGGGTTCTGGGAGTTGAAGTCCACAAGTCATAAAGTTGCCAAGGTTGGAGACCCCTGCTCTAGTGAGGACCTTCCACTTCAAACTGTAAGAGGCTACTCTTAAAATAAAAGAACTGCCATTCTGTCCAAATAACATATAAGACTTTCTTCTAGCAAGATAGTATGTCCACTGAGATGTCACCAACCCTACCCCTACACATGCCAATTTCTACATGCAAACACTTTGTTCTGATCATGCCACATTCCCATCACAAGGTTCTCAACTTACAGCCTCAAGACGTGCAGTCCAAGACAATTTCACCATCCCGGTGAGAACTAGGCCAAGGTTCTAGACCGTCTTCTCCCACCCGGTATTCTTATGATGTGTTGGAATATGTCTACAATCACTCTAGAGCAAGCATGCTGCTGGAGAGTGATGGGACCCATAGATTAACACAGGGGTGTCAAACTCGTGGCTCTGCAGGCTGGATGCGTCGCGTAGCTGGCCCCGTCCCCGCCTGGTTTAGCGAAGGGGGAAAAAGTCCCAATACATCACGTGACGCCGCCGTGACGCCGCGAGTTTGACACCCCTGGATTAACACATCAGGAGAACAGTGGGATGAGGAAGACGGATTTTAAGCATCATTTGTCATGGCACTATTGACAATTCTAGGGCTAAGCTCTTGCCGTATGTTAAAATGGAAAGTGGGGAGGAATTGTCCACAGGAAGTGAAACTCTCGCAATGCAAAGACAGCAGCACATTTCATACAAGTTGTTGGTGTATCAAGGTCCCAGAACAACAACTTGGACATTACTTTATAGTGTCATCTTACCCCACCTGCTTACAACCTCTAGACATTGCAGGGTAGTATAAGAAAAAAAATAAAAGATAAATATCTAATCTTTGGCAAATTGCCTTTTTTTTAAGGAAGACTTGAAGGGGAGGATCTAGTTGTTAGAAAAGTTCAAGACTTAGCTGTTTGTTGGGTCAGTTCTCAGGCTAGCAAAAACGTTTTGTTTCTTCACTTAATTGGAAAGGCTGGGACAACATTCCAAGTGATCCAAGATGAACTGCTCATTTGCTGTAAGATCCTTTTTTATGGTCAGAATTTGAAGAGGTCAGGAGTGGGCTGCTGGGGGTTCACGCGGGTTCGGAAGAACCTCTAGCTAAGATTCTGTGCAGTTCGGAGAACCCCCAAATCCCACTCCTGACTGGCCCTAGCCACCCCGCCCCACCGAGGAGTCCCCACGCAGCCCATTTTGGATGCAGTTAAGTACGCGGAGGCTTGGGAAGGGCGAAAAACGGGCCTATCGGAAATTCAGAAAGGTTGGAAATGGGCCAGTTTCCGGCCTCCAGAGGGCCTCTAGAGCATGGGGAGGCTGTTTTCGCCCTCCCGGAGGCTCGAGGAAAGCCTCCGGAGCCCAGAGAGGGCAAAAACACCTTCCCACCATGGTGCAGGAGGCCGATTAGGCCAAGCCCACCATGGCCATGCCCACCCAGCAACCGGGCAGAGAACCCCTTGCTAAAATTTTTGAAGCCCACCCCGGAAGAGGTTAATGTTGATTAAAAACAGTCATCTCAGGAACTCTCAAAAGTGAAAAAAATTAAACCTTGCAGCACTGAGATTCGGAGTCTAGATAGGACTCTGATGTTTGCCTATGAAACAGTACCATTCGTATCCATGGTCCAATGAGACCTGCAGAATACATCTTTTTTATTTCTTCTTTCGTTTTGTTTTAGACTCCCCCATTCTTGTCTTCCCCTTAGGATAAGCAGAACTATATCTATGCTATCCGACTGTCAAGTCGTTTGAGCTACAGTACAAGGAAAGTTTGGTGTCTGCTGAAGTGCTCTTACAGTCACTTTCAAGAAAAGCTTATATTCATTTGACCTGTTGGGGGCAGATCAAGAGATCCACCATTCCATGATGAAATGGAGCTTTGATACAGTCCTAACCAGAATTCTATTTTCATACAGTTTGTTTGAAGGGTGAAGCGGGACCGGGGGGGATGAGAAGTAAAAACTCTATAGCCGATGACCAGGGACCAATCTATACTTCCATAAAAAACACGGAGAACCAATTATTCCTGACTGTACCACTTCAGAATATATTATGATTAATGGCAGAGGAGAAGAAGTAGATTCTTTCTATTCTTTCCCAATTAAAGGAGGTCCTCATGAAGTATTTTAGACTGCTGAAAGAACTATTTAAGCATGAGTACATTTGCAACATTAAGCTTTAAATAGGCGGTTTTCCCCACCTAACTTTTAAGTCAGGAGTCTCCAAACTTGACAACTTTAAGACTTCTGGACTTCAATTCCCAGAATTGAAGTCCAGAAGTCTTACAAGTTGCCAAGTTTGGAGACCCCTGCTTTAAGTGGTACAGTCCCAGGAAAACAATGCCATGTCCTTTTCATTGGTTTGTTTGAATGTATAGATTGGCTCAATGTCCTTAGAAAGTCAGTTACAGTACATTTCTGGTGTATTGTGAATGCAAAAGAAAAAAATAAAAAAGAGCAATTTCTTAGTTTGGTACAACTGGGATTCTCTACTCATTCTGTGGCACATTTACACACTTTCTGAAGAATCACGCTTCACGTGGGCCGCTGAAGGTCCCTCCCCCCGGAGATTCCTCAAATAGATTTTTAACTTTTGAGGTTCCGCGATGCGTCTCCGATTGAAGTCTGCTCTTGGATGAATCTGGCCGCAGCGATCTGTCTGCAGGAGATGAAAGAGGCTTGCCATGTCTGGTCCAATTTTAGCCATCAAACTGTCTTTAATGGTCCCGACTGTTTCTTCCCCACATTCCAGCAAACTTCTCACAAGTTTGCTGTAATACCTGTAATAAAGACAACATTAGTTAGTCTTCCATATGATTGTCCCAGAGAACTCAACAGAGTTCATAGCATTCAGAAGCCAGTATTCAGAACGACTATGGAGATTCTCAATCATCCAGCAATGTTTGTCCCAGAGGTGCTTTTTCAAAAAGGCAACTGGACTTTCTGGTTTTTTTCTTTGAAGACATTTTGCTTCTCATCCAAGAAGCTTCTTCAGCTCTGAGTGGATGGTGGGGAATGGAAGGATTTATACTCCTTGCAGACAGCTGGGCATTTGCATCCTTTTAGAGAGTCATTGAGGCCACTTGGAGCAGTGATGGGTTGCTCACGGTTTGCACCGGTTTGCAAGAACTGGTAGTAAAAATTTGTAATAGTTCGGAGAACCGGTAATAACATTGGCTGGCCATGCCCCCGAACCGGTCCCCGGCCCAGTCGCCACTCGCTTACCCCGCCCACCTCATCAGAGGCTTTTTTAAAAAAACTTTTAAAAGCATTTTTTTCTACAACCTCTTTGGCCGAAAAAATGCTTTTAAAAGTAAAAAAAAAAAGCCTCTGATGATCGCGCGGCTCAACTGATCAACTCAGCTGATATTTAGAGATGGAGATGAAGGTGGTTTGTGGCTTTAGAATACTCAACCTCTTTTGCACAGCCCAAATGCAATCTTTGGTGACAATACACCTTAACCATGGCCCATGATAGGGTCAGCTCTCTCAATAGGCAGCAGAAGGAAACAGACGAAGCTCCTAGCAGCTCCTCCAAAAATGATCGATTTGGTAGCACCTTTTATGAAACGGCAAAAGGTTTCATTAACATCTGCGAAATTTTGGTTACCGTAAACTTACACAGCTCTCCTGAACCCCTTGGGCTGCTATTCATGAGCATCTGCCCATGATTTGCCACCTTACACCTAGATGATGGCGAGAAGGTAGTAGATGGAAGTTTGTGGAGGGCAGAGCAATTTTTGCCAGCCAGGCTGCCCTGTATGGTTTTATGCTAGATTGCTTGGGAGACAATCTTTCTGGAAATAAAACCCATCCATCAGCCAAGCCAGATTCTCAACACCACCGTATATTTCGCCTTTGGCAGATCAACCTCCTGGTGCTATGCTAACTTCTCAATCAAACTAAGATGTTGCCTGCTCACTCAAGAGTCGTTTCTTCCACCTACCCATCTGCTCAGCATTGCTTCACAAAACTGCAACATGAAGTTCTTTTTTTCCATTTAAATCTTTACGCAAAACCTGCATTTTCTGCCTAGCTTTTAAAAACAACCCTTCGTTCCCAACTCTTATGTCAGGATCTAAGTGTATGCTAGGATCTAAAATGATCCCATATTCTGCTTTCCTGGGATGATCACTGCTGCTACTTCTCTTCCGTTTTCCCCCCTTCTATTTGTCCTTTGTCAGTGTAGGAAGTTAGCACCCACCCCTTTCCTAGAAGAATGAAATATTTTGGGAAATATTAAAAAGGCAGAATATTATGTTTCCCTGGATAAGAAAGGGAGAAGCATGTTTTAAAGACAAAGCAGCTCCCACCTTCCTGCCCCCACCCTTTTGATAATGGGCCAGAGGCAGAAACTCAATCTTTGTCAATGGACCTCATCTGCAAGACAATGGGACCCATCTAGGGCAGAAATTCACCACATGGCACCTGGGAAGATTACATCAGCCAGCAGGGCTAGCTAAGACCCCCACCCCCTGGAAGTCTGACAATCAATCAGGATACGCTTTCTGGGTCCCAGGAAGTTCAAAGCCAGAGAGAGCATAAAACCCGGAGAGTCGCTGTATCTGCCCTTTTCTGTTCAGGAACTCAAACCATGTGATCCTGTCCACCATTAAACCATCTTTCCAAGCAGTCTCCATGTTTCCAGTGTCTTTTTCACCACTTGGAGCTGAACCCAGAAGGATATTTCTTCCTACATCAGCTTATGAAGGTGTGAACTTCTGGAGCTGAACTTCTGCTGCTAACCTGGTGAATATTCTCCACCCATCAGTTGTCATTGGTCCTATGAGAGCAGAGTACCAGAGAAAGCCAAAATGGGCCCATTTCATTTATTTTAGAAATGTGTTCACTGTGCTTCAAATCAGCATTTGCAAATCAAATCAGTATTTGGATACTGCAGTCAAGTGGTATTACCATTTCAATCCATTTAATTCCATTCACTTTGGGTAGGTCAAATTACAAGGAAGTGATTTTGATGCCAGGAAAGATTTCCTAATGATAAGAACGGTTGGACAATGAAACAATCTGTTTTTGGAGGTGTTTCAGCAGGGACTGCATAGCCAACTTTATTTATTTATTTATTTTTATTTTATTATTCATATTTCTATGCCACCCACTCTCCGAGGACTCTGGGCGGCTTACACCAAAGACAGTATACTAAATAGCATATTGCCCCCAACAATCTAGGTCCTCATTCTACCCACCTCGGAAGGATGGAAGGCTGAGTCAACCTTGAGCCGGTGAGATTTGATCCACTGATCTGCTGAACTAGCAGCTGAAGTAGCTGCAGTACTGCACTCTAACCACTGTGCCACCTCGGCTCATACTTTGGGGATGCTATTGTAATGGATATGTACCCTGGGTAGGAGGTTGAACTAGATGGTCTTCAAAGTATCTTCTACCCTTCCTATTTGATGACGCTAAAACCACAATTTAAATACAGTAAAAGCCTAGGTAGACATCAGAGAACAATGTTAAGATGCCTGAAGTGGAAATGCATTGGTGTAATTGTAATAGGACGCCACATTTGTGCAGTCCTTGGTGTTCTTTGAACTTGGTTGTTTGCACAGATGATGTTATCTAGTTGGATAATGAACCATCTGCAAGCAAAGAACTAAGCTCAGAGAGCACTAAGGGCTCCGCAGTTCAACCCTGAGCTACAGATATTCTCTACTATTGGGAAATGTCTACGGAGATTCTCCATCATCCAGGTGATGGTTGTCCCAAAGGTGCTTTTCTTTCCAAAGGCAACTGGACTTTCTTGTTTTGCTTGAAGACATTTCACTTTTCATCCAAGAAGTTTTAAGTTCTGACTGAATGGTGGAGAATGGAAGGATTTCTGCAAGATGACTGCAAGGAACATAAATCCTTCCATTCTCCATTATTCAGACAGGACTGAAGAAGCTTCTTGGATGAGAAGCGAAATGTCTTCAAGCCACACAAGAAAGCCCAGTTGACTTTGGCAAAGAAAGCACCTTTGGGTCTTCTAATGGTATTCTGACCTAGGCTTCCTTAGAAATTAAACAGCACAAACTTAGTCCCGGCAAACCTCTTTAATTCATACAGATGTAAATTACTTTCATTTACAGTCTGCAAGACTTGATAAACAGTCTTTCAGAGGAAGGTTATCAACACCCACCTATCTCACGTGGAACACTGCCAAAGAGCTAATTTCCAGACGCAGGGCAAGGCCAAACTTGGCACAGAGTCACAAACAGAATTTTCATCTCTTGAATCGGCCAGATGAATTGCTTCCTCCAAAAGCTCACGTCCCATTCACTTCTCTTTTATGTCTTATGGGAGGGGCCAATCATCTCCAAGCCTTACGCCCAAGTCGACCCTGTTTCCCTAATTGTTCCTGTCTCCTGGCAGCTCTGCACTTGCACACACTGGGAACAGGCTCACGCTGTTCTTCTGCCTCGCTGATGTCAGACTCCGGAGACTCCAGAGGCAGCAAAGAAGTGCCAGATGGCCTTGGCCCCTCTCTGCCTCTGACTCGTCTGAGCCTTCCCCAGACTCCAGGACTGGCCCACATTCCTCCCCAAGCTCCTCATTGTCCAAATCTGCTGCCAGCTCTGCTGGCCGCTGGTGGGCCACAACAAATGGGACCTCCACATTTGTCCATTAAAAAGCACAAATAAATCACATCAGAGTGCCTCCCTCTCTGCCAGCTTATCAGGTCAAGTCCATTATTACTATTGGTTAATCTTTGGTGAGATTCACAGCCTTTGAGGCTAGTTAATAGCTCAGCAGCTCGAGTCCTAACCAAGGACCTAGGAACTGTTAAGGTATCGTCGGAGGATGTAAGCTGTTCCGAGTAAGGTGGTTTTTTGTAGAGTCAAAATGTTTATTATTATTATTATTATTATTATTATTATTATTATTATTATTATTTAGTCCAATTTATATGCCGCCCTTCTCCGTAGACTCAGGGCGGCTTACAATGCATTATAGCAATAGCCTGCATACTTTTTTGTATATACCTGCTTATTAGAGCTTTTGCCCCCCCCACGCGGTGTTGTTCTTTACAAAGTTGGCTTATTGCCGATGTCAGCACTTCAACCTGCATTTACTCTAGTGCTGACATAAGAAGGAGAAATGGAGGCATCTGGAAAGGGACGTTTGACTTTTCACCTACTTATTTTCCCTGGAGATAATATCCCCTAGGAGATGGGATGGGAGGGGGAAAATTCCTTTGAGCTGGAGTAGATTAGGGATAGAATGACTTGGAAGATGGCTAATGAGTGCAGGGGAGTGGGGAACAGAAAGGGAGGGTTTTAGGGCTGGACGTCAGTGTTGGCTTCGTTTGGAGTCGGGTTAGAATGTCGTGCTTAATAAATAGGAGTTTTTCTTCAAAGACTTCGTTTGAAATGCAATTTATTTGAGACGATCTCGAAACTTGACAGCCCCCACAATCTGGGTCCTCAATTTACCTACCTCGAAAGGATGGAAGGCTGAGTCAACCTTGAGCCTGGTGAGATTCGAACTTGCACTAATTGCAGGCAGCCGGCAGCTAAATGCTAGCACTTAACAGCACTTTAGTCCGCTGCACCACCGAGGTGTCTGACCGGAACACAGCATCTCCTGAGCTAACCAATGGCATCATTTTTTTAAAAAAAATCCATCTCAACCTGCACTGCAGCTGTGCAGCCCCTTCTGTGACCAAGAAAGAGCTTTTAATCAAGGAGAGGCCCTTTTCCCACCCAGCAACTGCCTGAAGTCACATCAGAATGGCATAGCAACATGAGGAAGGCTAATCTCGTGCATTGTTCCCATAGAT